AAAACAATTTATTGAATCTTTTCCCTTCTTTTATTCAGAAAAACATTCCAGCTTTTTAACCTCATTTTTTGTCTCATTTTTTCTTATTTTATATCAGTGTGTCTGGGTTCCACTAACACAATTCAACAGACATAAACTTGTTTCTTAAAGTTTAGAGGCTGAAGATCCAGGATTAAGTGGATGAAAGTGATGGTATATGGTGAGGTCTCTGCAGCCATTTCGATATTTCTGTTTTCATAAACAGTTGTATTAAATATAAATTGATGTGGGATAAAGTTAATTATGCTTAATATCCAACTTTCAAAATAATATTTTTCTCCATATTTTTAATGTTTATTTGTGTGCTGGTGTCTTCTAAAGAACAGCCACCATAGATTCAGTGGGTTAAACAATAATCTGTTTACTCCTTGAAATTTTATTTTAAACAGAGAAGATAGTTATCAATATGATTCCTTACTCTTTTGAATGTTTGAGACATTTGATTATGTATCCAGTTCCAAAAAGTGATGAATAATTGTATGCAAGAGGTAAATTTCAACAGAGTCTTGCCACCAAGTTCTGTAAGGCAACAGGATCAGGGCCAATGCCCAGCATTGTCTGAGACTCCATGGGACCCCTGGTTAACAGCTTCCAAAGAGGAAATCCACTCCTGGAGTTGGGCTGCTTATTTGCTAACCTGTGATGACCACTGGGTATTGCCGCAAGCCACGACTCTGACCAGCAGAGCCGAGGAAAGGACAACACGGACGCCAAGATGAGGTTCACTCCACTTTCAAGTCTCTTCTCTTTATTGAACGTTTGTACAAAGCTTTTATAGGGAAGCAGAGGGCGGAAGAAGCTGGGTGGGTAAGTTCCGCTATTTACCGCACCTTCCACAGCCAGACCACAAGGCAGGATGTTTTTACAGGATGAACAAATTTACAAGGTTGAGGCAGACAATAGTTACTATTTCTGGGCAGGGGGCCCATGGCTCCCTACAGGTATGATTTCCTCCTGTTATAGGGTAACTCCATTTAACTTCCGTATATTGTATACTTCATTACACCCTTTTCCCCCTTTATATCACTGAATTCTCTCTCCCCCCATGAACCTCTTTCCAAGGCCTCTTTACTGGTTTTCTGACTTGTATGGATTTTCCAGTTGCAGGATCGTTGCCTAAAGATTTAAAGTTAGCATCCATTTATGAGAAAGAACATGAAATATTTGTTTTGGGGGAGTCTGAGTTCCCACACTCAAGATGACTGTTTCCACTACCACCCATTTACCTGCAAATTTTATTTTTCTTAATAGTTGAATAATATTTCATGCACAAATGTACCATACTCTCGTTATTCATTCATCAGTTCATGGACATGTGAGTAAATTCTGTTTCCTGGCTATTTTCAATAGAGCTGAGGTGAACATGGATGGAGAGGTTGGAGAGGTACCTCTGTACTAGATTATAGAGTCCTTTGTGTGTATGCCCAAGAGTGGTATGACTGGATCATATGGTAGATCTTTTTCTAGCTTTTTAAGGAAGCACCACACTGATTTTCACAGTGATTGCACCAGTTTGCAATCCTACCAGCAGCCAATAAGTATTCTCCTTTCCCCACAACCTCGCCAGAATTTTTATCTTAAAAATTCTCACTGTGACAAGATGAAATCTCGGAGTAGTTTTAATTTGCATTTCTCTGATGACTAAAGATTGAACAACTTAGAAAAATAAATGGCTGAAAAAAAAACATTCCTCAGTCAGTTTCCTTTTATGTTTTCAGAACTCCCTGTTCAATTCTTTGTCCCCATTTTTATTTGGGTTGTTTAATTTTTTGATGTTGAGTTCTTTATATACTCTAGATACTAACCTTCCCTCACAAGTAGAGCAGACAAAGATTTTTTTCCCATCCGGTAGGTTGCCTCTTCACTCAAATGATAGTGTCTTTTGTTGTACAGAAGCATTTCAGTTTCATGAGGTCCCATGGTCAATTGTTGGACTTAATGCCTGTGCTATAGTCCTATTAAGAAAGTTCTTTCCTGTTTCTAAAAGTTCCAGTGCATTTCCTACTTTCCTATCTATCAGATACTACACACATGAGTTGGATGAAATAAAGGAGAAAGTAAGCTGGTATTGCCCTTAAAGTTTATATCCAGATTAACTTCCATAATTGTGGAAAATGCTATGCATGCTGCTAGAAGAGAGGGATGATCATCAGCTTTGGAGATCTGTGAATCCTACAAACTACAACAGCTGTACTAGCAAGATACGCCCACTGGGGCAATGGTGGGTCAAATGTTTGGGAATAATAAACCACTTTCTGATTTTATGTAAGGTTCACTTCACAGGATAGAGCCCATATCTGCCACTGATATAAAGCCCCAGAACCTGTGGCTGGACAGGTCACAAAGCCTAACACTATCATTCTTCTAAGTATAAAAATTATTTTAAAATATCCTAATGTATTATTGTTATACTTCTAGATTTTCTTCCTCATACTGCAGATCATTAACCCAGAGACCCACAACTGAGAAACGTGTAGAGAATAAGAGACTTCAGAGTGTTTATCCCTGATTAGGACACCTGGACCAAACTCTTGCCTCCCAAGGTGAAGGGATCATTGCACAAGAGCGAGAGGGAAGAGTGTAAGATCCAGGGATGGTGGATGACCACAAGGAAACAGAATTCTCCAAACAGATGGGCAGTTACCCATATGAACTCAGAGTAATGGTGACAGTAATCACAAGTAAGTCCTAGGTAAAAACAAGTGTGACAAAATTCCAGCATAGAACTGAGGAAGGGGATAGAAAAATCCAACCTGGGAGGGGGAAAGTCAATCTTCTTGGAGGGTGTTATTCTGGGTGAGTTAACCAGGCTCAAATGGGTGGACATGAACAGAAGGACACTTGCGAACACAAGTTTGACTATATAGGCCATAGGGAGGTATAGAAACGGGAGGGAGTCTAAATGTGATCAAAATATATGGATCCCACAAAAATTCTCTTTAAAAATCTATAAAAATGATGCATAAAATAGCATGAAAAGATAAACATCTTAAATAGCAGTATGCATGTGATATGATTTTCATTTTATAATATAGAAGTACAAAGAAATTTGAGAAATGCAGCTGACTGTAATTAAATAAATAAACTGAAGAAAACCACAATATATTTATCTTCTGGAGTACACATTAGCTAAGTTTCAAATGCCATAAAATTAATAATTTGCAATAACATCACTATAATTTTTGCTCTTGTAGTATATAAATATATAGTTTTTTATTTGTATATTTACTTATAAATGCAGTAAATTTCAGGCAGAGCTGTCAAAAACTTCCTACTGAAATTTCACCTTAACACTGGTCCACATCCTTCCATAATAGCGTATTAAGTGTTTCTCTTTCTGCTGACCTCCTCAGGCTCATTTGCATAAAATTTTAAGATAAAGGAGTTTCAGTTTCTTCATATTAAAAGTAATTTTACAGCTATCTGAATGCTGAAAAAAAGCCAAATACATAGATTACCTGTAATGTAAATAATACAACATCTTTCTAGCATACCTACTACATATGCCAATAAATTGTTCTATAGCATCTGTTTCTTGTACAGTTTCTCTGAAAGACACATAGAAGACATAACTTTTTCACCAGTTAATGAATGAATTAACTACATTAACAAATCAAGAAAAACTTTTCCAATATGTAACTGTGTAGTCTGAATTGATTTCCTTGTGAAAATAAGCCTGAATAATGAATACTTCATTTCTAAATTAGATACAGGACTTCAACTTGCTAAGCACTTAATAAAAGAGATAACAGGATACATGACCATGATTTTCTCTGCTTGTCTAACATAGTGAACATAATTTACTTTAAAGTTTTCAACTATTTATGAAGTCATTTGGTATTCTTAATTTTCAACCTAAAAATACAACAAATTTCAATACTATATATAAGCATTACAAGCATGAAAATAGTTCATCTTAAGTATTCACAGCCAATCATAATGTATACATTCATAAAAGTGGACTGTTATGCAGTTAATTTTGTCCATGTCGGACAATATCCTCAGAAGTATTTATTGAAACCACAAGCCATAGTATTACAAAATCTGGCATCTACCTGAAGTTTAACACTGAACAACAATTACATGAACAAGGTGGAAAATTAATTCCTGATTTTGTGTGTGTGTCAATTGAAAAATACTAAAAAACATGAAATTCCTTCAATATTATTCAATAATTTATTTTTTTATTGTATCATTATATTTTCTTCTTTAACTGTATCTCCATTACCAGATAGATTTCTCTCTGTGTGTTGGAGTTCCAGTATTTCAATAGTAAGTCAAATTGTTTGCTAGATCCAATTCTAAATGATTTCTCAACATTGATTTTACCCATCTTATCATTCACTTAATTTGTACCAAGATATTGTTTAGATTAAAAAAATCCTTGAATATGAAGGATGCTTCAACCTTACCTATGACCCAACTTCATCAGCTACAATTTCTAGTACCTATGATTCCCATGTGTAGAGCTACATCTGTATATTATATATTACATACATCTTAATTTAAAATGAATAATTGATGAAAATTATATGATGATTATTAGAAAGACTTTTTACATTGAAGTGGCCTAATTAGCCTTCTCTGGCTAAGAAGAAGCACTAAAAATCTTAGCTATGTAGTGATCAGGTTTTAGTGTGTTTGGGCACACCTTATAATGAACTTAATATTATAAAATTTGTGAAGTGATATATAGGAATAATTAACACACCTTTAAGCAAAGTGCTCAGGAGGCAGATACAGGCAGCTCTTGGAAAGTTCCAGAGCATCCTGTTCTATACAGAGAGTTCTGGGCCACTCTGGAATACATAGCGAAGCCCTGTCCAAACACACAAACAAACAAACAAACAAACAACAAAACCCAAAAAAATATATGGAAAGTATAAATTTAAAATAAAAACATTTCATGTGAACTGCATTTCCTCTAGAACTTCAATATAATCCCTGATACCTGAAGTGGTCTATGGACCCCAGAGTTCTCCATCTTTGAACCAGGTCCTAAGCCACTGAAGTATCTTAAACAAGTTTTCTCTAAGCTTAATATGTCCCCAAATCAGTACACATGTGTGACCAGTAGGAAAAGTTATTACAGTAATCTTCACCAAAAAACTGCTCAGGGTGTTTTTCAATTCAACTGTCCATATTTCTACAACATGATACAGAAAGACGATGATATAAAGAAAGAGGAAGGCTACCACAGTGTGCAGGGCCTTGATGTGTGCTGTGGTGCTGACATCCCTGGATCCTCCCAAGTTCTGCTTCATTCTCTTCAGATGTTTCCACAGGGAAAAGATCAGCAGCAAAAATGCTGTCAAGACCATAGCAAAGGGTATCAATATGAACATAAGGTTTTGGATCAAGACAAATCTATAAAACTGTGCATAGTTCAGAAAACTAGAATTGTAGAACAGATTTTGTTTATCCCCATCAATCCAGGTGTCAAAACTTGTTTTTATCAGTACAATATGTAAAACCAAGAGGTACAGGGACACCAACAATATCCCTGAAACCACCTGTTTAATTCGCCACTTTAAGTAGAGAAAAACAAAATTAGAAAAATTGGCTATTTTGAATAAATAAAAGATGCTCAGGCAGGTAGCAAACCACAGGTTAAAATGATTTGTCACTGCCCAGGCAATATTAATTATTGTTAACCTATTTCCTTCCACAAAGAAAGTTTTGTTAAATACAGAAAACCACCATGCTAGGAGTTCTAACACAAGGAGAGCAATTCTGGAGATTGCCAAAGCAGTGAGAATTTGATCCACTGAGGAGAGCTTTCTTCTCTTGACCCAGTCCATGCAGTTCACCAGTGCTATGAATACATTCCCTGAACTTCCAATTATGAATCCCACAAGGAAAATGATTGTGAATGTGGTCTTTAGGAAAGCAACCATATCTCCTTAAAACAATATCCCAACATCATTTAAATTGTTGACGATTTCTTGACGAATTCACCTAAAATGCTGCCAATATTTGATTCATGAAAATTCAGAAGTCTTCTTCATGTTATTGTGGAAACAAAGATTTACTAGTTATTCTTTTCATGGGGATGTGATACAAGTCTTGAGTTTTTTTCTAAGCCGGTCTGAATTCATCCGTACCCTCTGTGCATACTATGCAGCTGCTGTGGTATAATTTTCACAGAGGATGAAGGAACCACTGTAAGCTAATGTGTTGGCATGCAAATAAAGCAAATTCAATTTGCAATTTTTATTTTTAATTTCCTTGACTGTATAGGTTAATCAGTTCACTTGAGTTGTAGAATTTAGCATGAAGAAATCCTAATGTAAAGGGAAGCTAATGAATTCTATTTCATAGAGTACGACCTAAGCACTAAGGTTTTTTAAATGCTTGAAAACTAGGTCTGTAAGTGAGGTTTACATCTGTCATTCAACTTCTTCCTATAAGAGATGTTATCTAATAACCTCACATAATTTCTCAAGTGTGATTAAAGGAACACTTATTTTACAATTCATTGTATATGAGAAAATGGTGTTTCTCTCTCTCTCTCTCTCTCTCTCTCTCTCTCTCTCTCTCATGATTGCCAGTCAATATAATTTTATTTAGATCAAAATTTCATTTTTTTCCAGCTTTAATGATTCAAGTTATTCTCTGATTCAACCAATCATACATATAACTGGTGCTAATAATGTACAGGTTTTGAACAAATTATTTAAAAACTCAGGTCTCAGGTGTATGTTATTGAGCATTAAATTCAGGTATTTAAGAAATGATGTTCAGGTCTTGCCCACTTCTAACCTCTCAGCAGCATGTGCTTTACGACTTCTACCACAGATATCAAGGTAAGTACAGGATCGTACAAAACATGACCAAGATGGAAAAGAAGCAGCAATATACTGTAGATCCTATTGGAGAGAGAAAGAGTGAAAAATCATGGAATGTAAACAGCAACGGAATCCTAGCTGAAAGTCATGATCCCAAATGTTAGGGATTACAGAGAAAGAGAGAATGTATAGCAGTGCTAACTGACTCACTTATCTGAAGTAATACTGGACAAAGAAAGTGTATGATGTACGTCTTGAAACTTCTCACAAATGAGCACATTTAAGGGAGGGAAGTACACAGAATCATAATAGGAAAACAGTATATTATGTCAAGAATCAAGTCCTAAGGAAAGAAGCACAAACATAGCAATACCATAATAGAAGTTCCCTTGGTTTGACTCCTTCTGGGTAGCATAGATGAGCTTCAGAGTGAAGACAGATGTACAAACATCCTGGTGTGCAAAAGATGTTTGTATCCCCAATAAAGGCTGCACTACCACCCGCAGATTGCCAGAAGCCCAAGGGAGAACATTATCCTGACCTGCATTGGTTTTCCAACTGAAACACATACCTAGAATTTCAAAGCTTGTATTCACTAATGTGAGAGGCCATGTGATATTTGTCTTCCTGGACCTGTTACCTCACTCAAGATGATTATTTCCAATACCATCCATTGACCTGCAAATTTCATAATTTTGGTTTACCTCAGAGCTACATGATATTCAGTTGTGTAAACACCCCATGTGTTTATTATCCATTCATCAGTGATTGGACATCTAAGTTGTACCATTTCCTGATTCTTACAAATAGAGCAGACATGAATAAGGATGAGCATGTATCTCTGCAGTAGGATATAGAACCCTCCTTTGTATATGTGCCAAGAGTGGTATCCTGTAGCAGATCTATTTCTAGCATTTTGAGGAATATCTGCACTGAATTCCATAGTCCTCAAACTAGTTTGTACTCTCAGCAGCAGTGAATAAGTGATTCTCTGTCCCTTCTTCCTCACAAGCATTTGTGATCATTTGTGTTTCAGTTCTCAATCATTCAGACTGGGGTAAGATGAACTATCAAATTAATTTTGTGTTTCTCTGATAACACTTAGGGGGTGTAAAAAACAAGAGGGAAGTTTTTAGTGCAAAAGCTCAAGGTTTTCCGTAGTTCGTTCTCTCTCTCAGCTATATAACAGGAAACACAGTGCCAGAAAGGAAAAACTGCCTTTTGAGTTGTTGGCCAGTATAGTCTAAGAGACTCCCCAAATTACACAGGCTATTGCCACAGCCCTCAATTGCCTAACAGAACTTGAAGGTCAGACCCTATTGTTGAAATCAGGACATACTTTGGACACAAGACTTGGAACAATGGAGCTGGAACAAAGGCAAATTTTCAATATTTTATTTATTTACTTTTTATTTAATATATATGAATGTTGGCCTACATATGTATAAAAGTATCCATATAATGCAATGTGCACGGAAGCCAGAAGACACATCATCTGATGACCTGGAACTGGAGTTATCCACATTTTCAGCCACTATGTGGATATTGGGAACAGATCCAGGTCCTCTGGAACCACAGCCAGTGCTCTTAACCCCTGAATCTTTTCTCTAGCCCAAGATTTTCTGTTTTTAAATCCAGTTCCACTTGACTTTCTGCATTGAGTCCACACGTATCTATATTCATGTTCTTTATAGGAAATTGTTGTGATATAAAAACAATATCCTGGAACAGACACTCCCTTTAAGAAGAAAAAATGTTTCCCAGGATCTCTGAAGCAAGCGCCTGTTTATCAAGTCCACAAAATACGGTTTTTAGTAATATGAGTCACTTGCATGGAACTATATATTTTCTTATATATTACTCAATTCTCTTCTTAAAGTCTAATGAATGTCTAACAGTTGAAAAAATTCATATGATTAGCAAAAACAAAAATTTCTTACACTAAGTATTTCACTTACTTTCCCTTTACACATACCAACAAAAAAACCTGATTATGTACTGCTGAGAGGTGGTAGTACAGGTGGTCAGTCCTTATTCTTAACATTCGCCTGTGAAATTTCAAAAGTGAACTATAACAGAATGTATTGATGGATAAATTTGTCAGTACAAGAACTTTTTCAGAACTGATTTTCTTTTAGGATGTGCAAGCTGATCCCTGCTGTGCTCTATGACCCTGAGGACTCTGGTTCATTGGACCTGCACTTCAGCCTCTGCAGCACTGAAATCAATGTCTGTCTCAGCTTACTGCTTCCCAGAATCAAGACACATGAGTGGCAAGAGGGAAATGTTGCTAAAGTAACCCTTGAAAGCAAAATCATCAGAGTTTTCTCAATTTCAAGTATCCAAGCTTGATACTTAGTGACAGAATGAATCCTATATAAAGCAGGAGGAAGGTGATGACAGTTTGCAAGGCGTTGATGTGGGTGATGGTGCTGAAGTCTCTGTATCTATTAGCATTGTGCTTCATGTTCTTCAGATGTTTCCACAGTGAGAAGATCAGAAGGGGAAAATCTGCCAAGGACATTCCAAACGGTGTAAGTTGGAACATCAGGTTTGGGACTAAAACAAGCCTGGAAAATTCTGCAGATAAACCAGAACTAGAATTGAAATGCTTGTGTCTTTTGTATCCATCAACCCAGACATCAATTTCATTGCTTGCCAGTGAAATGTTCAATAATAAAAGGAAGAGGGACAAGAGCAGTGTCACTGAAATCACCCTTTTAAATCTCCACTTGAGGTAGTAGAACAGGGAGTTAGAAAAAATGACTATCTTGAAAAAATAGAGACTGCATAGGCTGGTAGTTAGCCAGATGCTGAAATGATTGGTCACAGTCCAAGCCAAATAAATCAGTTTTAATATCTTTTTGTTCATCAGTAAATCTAGATAAATTATAGGTAGCCATGCATCTACAAGTAGTACCCAGAGGACAGAAATTCTGGAGATTGCCAAAGCAGTGAGAATTTGATCTGCAAAGGAAATCTTTCTTCTCTTGACCCAGTCCACACAGTTCACCGGTGCAATGAATCCATTTCCCAAAGTTCCAATTATGAACTCTACAATGAAAATGAGTTTGAATGTGCTCTGTAGGAAATCAGATGTTTTTCTTAAAACCATGATTTAATGTCAGTTGCCAATGCTGAATATTTCTTCATGAACTTGTGTACAATTTTAGTTATAGGATTCATGAAAATTCAATGGTATTCTCCATGTTTAAAACGAACATAATCAATATCAGTCCATCAAATATCAACATTTGCTAGTGACTCACTTCTCAGCTTTGTCACGGAAATGTTGCATTCTCCCTCACAGCCCAGCTGAACTTCTTCCTTGTTCTCAGTCTCACACACAGTACTTTGTCCTCTTCTTGATGTAGATGAAGGAAACAGTGAATTCAAATGTTCAAACATGCTGACATGCAAATAAAGCTTCATTCATTTGCATAATTTTCTCTTTTCTGCATTGGGTAATCTGTATACTTTGGAGATTTAGCATTATAAAATCCAAGATATGAAAAAGTCAAAAAAATCCCTATCTAATTCAGTACTTCCTAAGCACTGAAGTTTTATTAATGCTAGAATGTTGTCTTTAATGTCAGGTGTGTATATGTCATTGAATTCTCTCCCTATAAACTCCATTTTCTAATAATCTTATATGTCCCAAATGTTCAATAGTGGAAATAATACATATTTTAGATTCTACTCCATAGAAAACACACACACACCAATAAATATTCTTTTATTTGAATCAAATTCCCCTATTCTTCATCTTATTAACTTAAATAACTATTTTATTGAATTTTATTGTGTATATTATGCACCTATCTCTTGAAAACTGTTGCTAGTGGTTAAAATTATTTTTAGATGCTTTCAGTTACATATTATGGAATGTTAAATAGAAGTGTTCAGTAAACGAGCTATTTCATCTATATGTATGAAAGCAGGAAAAATCCCTGTTTTCAGTCAAGCAGAAATTGAATTGCATGAGTTCATTCATACTGTGGGAATCCTTGTCAGTCTGTTTCTCCCTCCAGTGGAAGATACCTCTTCCATCAGCATGAAAGATGTTCAGATTTTATCTTCTTCTCCTTACTTCCTGGAAACTTCTGCTTCATGGCTAACTGCAGAGAACCAAGAGCCGGGGGGGGGGGGTTAACGAGAGTGTGCTTGCTATTTGCTCAAGATGGGAAATGAGTAAGACACATATTCCTCTTTCATAGCTAAAGAGTAAGCAAGGGAGAAATGAACGGAGCTCAGTAAAAATGTCCAAAGAAGGTCTTCATGGATGTATCTTAACCTTCAGAGATGGCATAGGAAGACGCAGACACAGAATGTTCCAATGTGAAATGCTGTTCCCCTCTCAGTCATCTGAAGCAAAATCACTAAAGAGAACAAAAGCAAACTATCTTGAAAACAGCACTGGAGCAACTCAATGATGACTCTGAAAAGATCAGAGATGGGGAAATGAGAGAGACAAAGTCTACAGAATAGGAAAAAATGAGCAATTAATTAAAGAGTTTTGAATTCTATTAACTATTGTAAAACAAGAGAAAACAGGAGGTATAAAGCTTATTTACACATTTCCCCATGGAGAATCAACATCCTTATTCACTTAACACTGAAGCAATTCAGAGAACCAGCTGTGATAGTTTATACTGATTGTCAACTTGACAGGGTCTACAGTCACCAAGAGACAAATTACTGTTCATATTATTGAAGGGTAACATATGTACTCCTAATAGAGGTGGGAAAACCCATTGGAAATGTGGGAAATATCATTGCACAGTCTTGGATTCCAAATATAAGATGGTTAAAGCTAACTGAGCAAAAGCAGTGGTCAGTCTCTGCTTCCTGATTGCAGATGTGATGTCACCAGCTGCCTCAAGGTCCTGCCCTGCTCCCTTCCTTGTCAGAATGGACTGTAGTTTCAACTGCAAACCTAAATAAACTCTTTCTTCCTTAAGTTGCTTTTGTCTGGTATTTTGTCACAGCAATTAGAAAAATGACAAATACAAAAAAAAGTGGTACCAAGAAATAGGACAGTTGCTGTGTTAAACCTGCTCGTGTAGTTCTTAAGTCTTTGGAACTGGTTTCTGGGAGGAATGTGGAAGTGTTTGGAACTTTGGACCAGAAAGGCTCTTGAATAATGTAAGCAGAACTCAATGGAATATTGTAGTTCGAACTTGAAAGATAAGACAGCTGAAGGACACAGACAGTGAAGGCTCAGCTCATGAGGCTTCAGTAGGACAAAGTTTGTTAGGAACTCGGCTAAGGATCATTCTTAAGGCATAATGACAAAGAATTGCATTGCATTCTCCCTATATCCCAGGGTCTTAACTGAAGCTAAATTTAAAAATAATGGACTATTTCATTTTCCAGAGGAAATTCCATAACAGAATGACATTCAGACTGTGTTATGGTTACTGATCACTGATGAGAGAGAAAAAAAGAGAGAGAGAGGAGAGAGAGAGAAGGAAGAAAGAAAGATATGAAAACTATGCAGTTTGGCATAAAAGAAATGAGTTTCCATTTACTGATGAGCCAGTTGCTGAGAAAGCAGCTGTATTTTTGAATATATTGACACCATTAAGAAAAACATGGCACTGTGGCTATGGGAAATGTATTGAGAAAAAGATCCTACCCATGGATGGAAGGCTCCGTCTTTTAAAAATCCATATTCTTTTGAAAATAGGTAGATTACATTGGGAATTCTACTGAAGAAATTCTCTGATCCTCAAATGCAGCTGTCTAATGAAATGTTTCCATAAGGTCAGCACACAGAGGACAATAAACCTGTGGCCCAAAGGAGACACATTCCTTCCTGGCATTGTGACAGAACATAGTAGCAGCATCCACATGGCCTTCATTTTATAGGCATGAAAGATGCAGGACTGAGCAGTCATGAAGTATTGCATTACAGTTCCATTGAGTCACTGGGGCCAGGCAATGTGTGCATGGTTAGATTCCCTGCAAAGAGGCCCTGATGGGTTGCTGCATGGACTGTAAGGTGAAGCCCACTGTAACAATGGAAACCTCAGAATGTTGCAGATGCCAGAACATTGGGATGTCCATTAAGGAAAGCTACAGGCATGGAGTAGAGTAAGCCCAAGAGAGGCTAGTTATGCTGCAGGTCTCAGAGATAGAGGCATGGGTTTATTCAAGCCCTTTGAAGTTCTAATTATTCTATCACAAACCCCAGGTGCCAGACATATAGGTGTAGGATATGATATTAGACTTGCTGGGTTTTGGTATTGTATTGTTCCTATTATTTTTGGCTGCATCCTGTTTTTCCTTTTTGGAATAGGAATCTTTACTGTGTGCATTTGTATATTAATTTAACATATACTATAGAGAAACAATTCAAAGGGAAGACCAATCCATTTTGCAGCACTGTTTCAAAGATTAGTCTATGGTCATCTTGCCCCATTGCTATGGGACTATGGTGAGGCAGCACATCATGGTGAGGGGATGCAATTGAGGATCTGCTCACTTCATGACAAAGGAGACAAAAGGGGCCAGAATAAGACATATATTTCTAGTAAAAGCCTCCAGAGACCTACATCCTTAACTATGCCCCAAAACCCTACAGTTTCATTATATTGTAAGTTCATCAAGTGACTTACCTATAGTATGGTAAGAGTCTACAAGAACCAGTCACTTCTCCACAATTAGATTACTACTTAGCGACTAACCCATCAGTACCATAGTCTATGGAGAGGTCCTTAGCAGCCAAAGTATAATAACATATTTTTTTTATTTTTTGAGACAAGGACATTTCTAGCTTTTGGCAAAGGACATGAATCAAGACCCCAAATCCTTAAACTTCCTGCTCTGTTTCTGTCTCCTGTCATTATTTTTGTAAAAGTATTATCAGTACTTTGATAGAGAGTAATTGAAATCTGTTGTTAACTTTCAAAATATGGCCATGCTTCCACAAATCCAGAAACACAGGGTTTTCCACTTTCTTGCATCATTTCTATCTCTTCAATGTGGAATTTTTTCTCTCTGGCTATTTTTATTCTATTTTCTTTTTTTGCCAATTTTAGACAACATATTTTGATCATATTTATAACCCCTTCCATGTTTGCACCCCATTTACTACCCCCACACAATGTCATTTGATTCATTTATAGATATTAAGCCCTATAGTGTCACATCTCTGTCTCCAAATGCCCATCAGTGTGGCTTCATCCACTGGAACCTGGTTAACCAACCAAGAGTCACATCCCTGCAGCCATCAATGTCAATAGTTCCCAGGAAGTGTTGGGGTTTCTTAACTATTTCTCTATTTTTGCCTGGGATTTTGTCTGGATTGAGTTTATATGGTACTTGTGCATGCTGTCATTTTGCTGAAACTTCATATGAGTAACATCGCAGCTGTCTGTAAAACTCTGGTTTTTGTGGTCATCCACCATCCCTGACTCTCACACTCTTTCCACCCTCTCTTCCACAATGATCCCTGAGCCTTGAGAGGCAGAAGTTTGATGTGCATGTTTAATTCAGGGATAAGCGCTCTTACTTTTACTTTTTGAGGCTATTATGAATGGGTTGTTTTCTCATTTTCATTCCCAGTGTGTTTATTATTATTGTATGGAAAAATAATATATTTGTACATGATGGTTTTGTACCCTGCTGCTTTGACAAATTTGCTTGTCAGAACCAAGAACTTTCAGATAGAGTTGTGGGACTTTGAAAGTGGCAGAGAGTTTCTAGATTTTTGATGCATTTATTACAGGGGACAGTGGTCAGTAAATAACTCCCAGCCAGTGACTTTCTAGTTAATTGTCTCAAAACTGCAAAGAACTACAAACAAGGAAAGCAATAAAAGGGCAGTAAATTAAGGTTTATTAAGATATAAATAAAGAGTTCCCAGTAAGGAGAAAAGAACCTGAAAGTAAGTTGCCAAACAGAATCTGGATTAGAGGTCCTTATATCCTGGGAATGTCCAATTTCATCCCACACACATGTAAATTAGGCATTCAGGTGGAATTTATCTGCTTGGTTAATTTAACTGTATATGGGGAATCCTGATTAGCTGATGAATAAAGTGAAAGTGTGCATACTCAAAACCAGTCCTCCAGTAGAAATAAAATAAAATAAAACAAAGCCTGCTAAAAT